TTCACTTCAGGTTCATGATTGAAACAAAAATGCCTGAAATCATTCTTATAATGAAGGAAACACTTTTTTTCTATAGATTTCCCGTTTACCCGCAAGCTACAATCAAATTGTTTATGTTTGACTTAGCTTAAAGTAAACAAGATTTTGCCAATATCCTTGTCTCGGTTAAATGAAATTGGGCAAACTAATCTTGGTAGTCCTCACATTCTCAAGTTGATTGTCTAAAATAAATTTCAAAATCATGTATTGTAATTTTTGCATAATAGTAATTATTGTTATGCAGCTGTTTCATAATGTTAACTAAACAAGGACCATAACCAATTTACTTTGACCCAAAATACACTGCTAACTGATATACATAGTTATATTGTCAAGTTTGGACTGACTGGTAAATATGGTGAACTCTCATTCAATGATTTCATATTGAAAGAGACTGTTGTTATTCTTTGACACTGCATCGTGTACAAGTTAATATGATAACAATGTTCCAATTCCAATCAAAATTAATTATTATCCATTTTAAAATTTATAAGCTGTCTGTGTAAACAACCTGTTATTTGATTTTTGTATGTCTTTTCTATTTCGAGCAGTCTGGCCTAGGGCCCTGACTGGGAACATTGTATTGTGTTCTTGAGCAAGGCACTTATCTCTCACAGTGCCTCTTTCCACTCAGGTATATAAATAAGTACTGGCAAATTTAATATTGCGGGGTAACCCTGCGATCGACTAGCATCCCATCTGGGGGTAGTAGAAATACTCCTAGTCGCTTCAGAAACTTTGCTACAGAAACTGGGATAAGTGCTGACCTGATGAGCCACTTGGCTCATATGCAGACTTTACTTCCAATTCGGAGTTGCTGTTTGCCTCTTTTTTTAGAACGAATGCTCGTGCAAAACATTTCACATGAAAATGACTTGATTTTAAAGAGAATGAACGTACAGGTGACATGCACTTTCATACGAATAGTTTTGCACGAACACTCGTTTTGCCACCAAGGCAAAATTCAAGTATTCATCCATGAGCTGGCTCAGGGAGCCTTTGATTTCTTTTTTTTCCCTCCTTCAGTCACAAATCGCCGTCTTGTCTCTAAAGCGCATGCGTACAGCACATGGCATTTACAGAAGTTGTCGACGTGAAAAGTTAGCACGAATTCCATGATTTCTAGGGCGATGAAATCACATACAAACGAACACACCGTTCGAGGTAGACCAACGCTAAAGGACGTTAAGCGTTATCGGAACGGGTCGGTCTGCAAGCCTTACGAGAGATCAATTTGCGAGCGAACATTTGAGAGAATTTATCAAGAATCGTGTTATACCAAAGGAGCTATCAACCGGCGCTATCAACTCTTCAGCTTGATAAAAAGCGTCTTCAGAAGCGTCATCGTATTTTTAGACGTGATCGTGAACCAAGCAGAATCCCAGCACGAACTCAAGAACGTCTGAGCAACAAGAGCAGAAAGGTTAGAGAATTTGTTTACGAATGTATCTGTTCGAGTACACCTGAGTAAAACGCTCTGAGAAACTTCGTAAAGTATAATAAAGATAAAATCTCGAACTAAACGATATTCTCTCGCTATTTTCTTGTAACAGAGTTATGTTTCTTTACAAGAGTGAAACCCATGTAACGAATTGTTGTACATTTAAGCTGAAAGAAGCTAATGTAGTTGACCCCAGCAAAACAATTATTGGCTTGCACTGTCACGCAATCCTGACGCAATAAAAAATTATTCGAAAACCATTCAGTGGATAAAATCGAGAAATAGAGATGTTATAGGAGATTAATAAAGATGACACTTCTCTAATTTTTTAAGTCTGTGCATTTTCCCAAACCTCAGATATTCGTCCAAATATTTTGCACAAATTTAGAGAGCCCAGTATGGAGCCGCGGTACACCAACATTGCGGCCGGAAAATAGTGTAAACATCTGGAACTTACTTTGGCTATCTAAGCGACCGATTATCTGTACTGAACAAACAAGCATTTACAAAAGCACTTTTCCTGGTACTTTAACTTCTGAATGGGCTAAAAATCACGAGATAAGTATATGTTTTTCGACAAACGCGTTCGTAGG